ATCTGATCACTGTGGAGGTCAAGATAGCTCCCTTGGCCATTTAGTGCCTTCACATGACTCCAGCTAGCTTGTGTCAAGGTATGTCGGAGGATCCAACCGAGGTGAGGAAGAATTCGACCTGCGGTCTTTCCTCAATCGTAATCGTGAAGGGCAAACCCATGTTGCAGAAAGTGATCCCCAGATAGCTCCGCTTCTTCAGATTGAGGAGTTACAACGAGCTTTGGATCAAATTAGAGCTCAACAAAATAAGCGAGTGCAGGTCGCTGAGGCGTCTCCCTTTTCTCCTGTAGTATCGACTGCTCCTCTCCCGTCAAGATTTAGAATGCTTGACATGTGAGCATTCGATGTGAATTCTGATTTACAGGATTATCTCTATGAGTTTAACGACCTCATAGAGCTTCACCAAGTTTCCAACTTAACAAAATGTTGTTGCTTAGTAGTGACTCTGACTGCCCACGTTAAGCACTGGTTTAGATGGCTTTCGTTAGGATCTATTAATTCATGGTAGTAGATGAGTTTGTTATTTCTGGGACACTTCCAGGCTAACAGGAAGTTCTCAATGCCGTCAAACTATCTAAGCAACATACGACAGGAGAGGAATGGGTCCCTCCAGTCCTATAGTGATAAGGTCCACAGGGAGCTAAATAAGGTGACTAATACACCCGAAGATTTAGTTCAGACTCTTATTATTATGGGAGTTCGCTTGCAAACTAACCTGTAGAAGAAACTACAGTCTGAGGACAATATTTTCCTTACTTGCTTCTACAATCTTACCAAGAAATATCTTTGCATCGAAAATTCAGTGGCTGTCTTGAACCACCATGACCCCAGTCCTTTGACCAGTGTTCCTAGTTGGAGGGAGAAAAACCAGGGGGAGGGTAGTAGAAAGCCTGATGACAAATGAGCTAATGACGATTAGAGAAAGGGAAAGAAACAGTGATTTGAGCCCAAGAAGTCTTATGCCTAGGTCCCTTGTTGCGATCGTGATAAGAATCAATATACTCTGCTAAATGCATCAGTATCAGCTATTTTCGATAAATCAAAAGAAGCTAATCTGCTCGGAGAGCCAGTGCCCATGAATAATCCCCCTTCAGCAAGAAACAATAAGAAATATTGTCGTTATTATCGGGATAATGTGCACCATACCAATGAATGTCGAGCTCTTAAGTAGGCGATTGAAAACCTCATTAAAAAAGGGCACTCTAAAAAGTATGTTGATGTCCAACTCCCACTCGGGAGAAGGATCAAGGGGACCAGGGGAAAAAGCACCATCGTCTCAAGGGCCTCCATCTTGTTGGAACTATATTTGGAGGGTCACACCTTGCGAGGAATTCTTGAAGTGCTTAGGAGAAGTACGTTCGAGAAGCTTGCCATGACCCTGTAAGTGTGATGAGCACAGCGTTGTGACCTATAAAGGTGCGTAGAGAGGAGGACATTACCTTCTCAGAAAAAGACGCAGTATGATTGCATCACCCTCATGAGGATGCACTCGTTATCGTGCCTGAAATAGGTCAGTGCAAAGTCACAAGATGTTGGTGGATAATGGTAGCATCGTGAATATCCAATTTCAACGAGCATTTAAGGAAATGTAATTGAACAAGGTAGATCTAAAGCCTATCTCTATCCCCCTCTATGGTTTTACAAGGGATCATCTGATTCCCAAGGGAATAATTGCACTTCTTGTCACTTTGGGTGAGACCCACGAAGTGACTAAGATGACAAAGTTTTTGGTAGTAGACTGTCTGTCTGCTTTCAATGGTATTTTGGAACGGCCTCTACTTTGGAACTTCAAAGTTGTCACGTCCATCTATCATCTGAAGATGAAATTTTCCACTTCGACAGGGTGTGGGGAAGTCAAGGGGTCTTAGCATGAGTTCCACTGCTGTTGGCTCGCCGAGGTTGTGTTTGTCAAACGCGATATACATAGTGACCACTATCATATACGTATTTTGCGTTAATGTGAATGGTGCTACCTCGAAGTGATCGAGGATTAAAGGTGGAACAAATGGGTCGAGTTAGACAGGTCAACCCTAACCTGGCCCGCATTGGAGAGGAAGGTGGGCCGGGTTGAACCCAACCCCCATGCAACCCCCGGATAGGCTGGGTTGCTATATGGCAACCCGCAAACCCGGCAGGTTGCTATTTGTTTACAATAGCCAACCCGGCAGGTTGGCAAGGGTTGCCCCAAAAAAAATTAAAAAAATAAAAAATTAATTATTTTTTTCAAGTTTCCCCCATTTTTTTAATTCTTTTAATTAAATTATTATGATTGAACTCTTACAAATAATTTTACACAATAATATTAAACTATACTTCTAAATCATAAATATTAAAATGTATAAAACTTCGTAATAGTTGACACATTGTTATTATTATCTTTTATGGTACGTAAAATATAAAAAAATTAAATACTGAAGTCTTATTCTTAAATTTCCATGTCTTGTATAAAATATAATTCATTCTTATGCTAAAGTTTCATCAATTGAATGAATAAATCTAATTTTTCTTATATTAAATTTTATTGTATTAAAATTGAATTAATATTTGAAATGTTAATAAAAAAATTAATTTAATTTAATTATTGATATTTGAAAAGTTAACTAAAAACAATTATATTTATTCATTTATAAATCATTAATTATTTATTTGAAAAGTTAACTAAATAAAACAAAATCAAAAAATAAAAAATAAAGAAAGGAGGTTAACCCGGCCTGACCCGCAACCTAACCCGACAGGTTAGGGTTGGCAGGCCTGGTTGGGCCAGTAATTCCCGCAAACATGGCGGGCCTAACCTGACCTATCTTTGTTGGGGGGCGGGTTAGGACCAACCCGCCAAACGTAGTAACCCGTCGCGGGCCGGGCAGGTTACTTTTCCAACTCTATCGAGGATTGACATGATGTAGGGGTGGAGGGGTATCCTCACTTCGCATTCAAAGATCGAGTTCGAGATCGTAGCCATTCCATCGGGAGGGTCCTGAGCAGTGTGCGACCTGTGTTGGAAGACGTTTACGTTGATCACGTATTGATCTATCACTTTTTATATCTCATCCTTCGTAACTATTGTTCATACTACCTACTCTGGACATGCTGAGGTGCCCGGGGGTTGCGACCCTCCTTCTCCAACTGTTTTCGCGTCAGGGATGTCCAACGCTCTTAAGAGTCTAAAAATGTGCGACATGTAGAAGTGACTCAGTCTCCGTTTACATTGTCTGTACAACGACTCAAAAGAGTAAAAGAAACATTGGTTTCTCTTTTATAGCCACCAAAACCCTAAAAATTCTTAAGGGTGATTTTATAAAGATCTATGCCCTAGGTTACAACTCTAAAGAGTGTTTTTTTCAAACACTACCCGAGAATGCTCACCATCTAAGCCTACCAGACGTTCATACCCACCATTACTGTAAAAACTAAGTTTTTAACATAAATGAAAAGGAGAAAAAGAAAAGAATTTTCTTTACCTCTTGATTGCTGGGAATGGATGTTCTATCGTAACGACAAATGCACATCAACCAGGGAGAGGATGAACTAATTTCTTGAGTGTAAAAACGCTATTTTTCTCTCTGAAAGTTTAAGTTTTGTGAAAAATTTGGAATGGGCTTAGGGTTTTATAGGTAGAAGGCAACATTTGGTTTCTTTTATAAGCGACGTTTGGGCGGGACGTGTTTCTAGCCATTGATTGCGACCACGTGTAGTCAATCTGCTTAAAGAGTAACTGTCACGCTTCGTGGAGATCAACCAGCGTTTCCCTTCATTGAAATTGCCAAACGTTGGCGTGATTATCTCCTCCACATTAAATGTGCCCTCATCTGCATTTAATGCTTCAAAAGAGAATGTCGTTTCAGCATGGCTTGCATTTAAATCTCATGGCTGACACTCATTGAGCAGCGACACGTCAGTTAGATAAAGCTTATTTTATTGACCAGAACAGCTGTCAAACGTAACAGATAACATCTAAAGAGGTCGTTCGAATAAAACACTCTTTTCCATGTGTCAAACTCGAAGCGAAGTGATTCTCAACTTTTGACAGCGAAATGTCCTAAGTGTTTTTAGGTCACGAAAGTCAGATAGAGTTCAAAGAATGTCGTTATAGCACTGAGTAAAATCCGTCATAGGTCGCTAAACCTTTCGAAATGAACACCTTAGGTTGCTACTGTAACTTTCGAAGATTCATGTCACGGCCTTTACTAAGTTCGCTGGACAAGTTAAGCCATCAGCCTCATGTCATTTGTAGCAATGTGATTGTCCTCAACTGTTAGTTCGGGCAAATACACCTCATAATAAGTCAGGTTGCAGCATAATCATGAAGTTCTCAAGATTCAATTCTTGAACCTTAAGAATTGGGGAGCTTCTGTTATGCCTAAAAAGTCAGGGCTGATGTAAGCTTACATCAGTAAGCATCAATTAGAGTTCAGAAAGGCTTTGCGTCATCCAGGAGTTGCCACGTCGCCCTGAGACGAGAAGGATATGGATGTCACCAACTTGGCAGATTCAGATTTTGTCTATGAGTGAATGAGAACCGTATACTTGTCTAAGCCCTAGGTAATTTGAGGATATATCCTAAGTTATCAGTCAATAGGAGGCAAGAAATGACTTGCATGGCACTTACCCACTTACAAATTTGTAATCATTACCTTGAATTCCTCTACTATAAATAGAGGACTCACTTTCTCATTTTCGAGATTCTAATCTTGAAACCTCATTCTGATTGTAACTTTAACTTTCAGAGAGAAAGAGATTGACTTAATTCTATCTGAATACTCAGTTATTATACCTCTGTTCGTTATTCGCTACATGCAACCTTTTGTAATCTCTCATATATAAAATAATAGTATATGTAAAATTCGCTTTAAGCATCCGGACCACTTTAAATACCATCACTCATTTATTATTTGGTCTTTTCATTCGATTATTCTAATCATTCACGTGTAATTTTTAAGAACAGTTTAACACTTTACATGTGTAAGTCGCTGGTGTCAAAATCATCAATAAGAGACAACCGATTTCAAAAGAGACAACTTTCTTTATATTAAAGTTTTAACTCAGACTAAACCCGATTAAGGCCATAGAAATACGGAAAGATTAAAGATACAGTGTAGTTACAAAGGGATTTACATTCCCAAATTAATGACTTTCAGAAATCCATTCATTCCCTTGAATAAAATTCTGCACTGAATATGTATTAACATGCTCCGCTGGAATCCGGCTACTCCACGCAACTCTTTTAGAAGTATCGGATCCAGGTCCGGAATTCTCAAATTCTCCAAAGTAGAGCGTTTGCAGAGCAAAGTCGCCGCTCCAAGGCAACCAGCCATCTGGTTGTATAAGTGCTTCTAAGGTACAGTGAATCAAAACCGTCCTCGAGAATTCCTTCCATGGTCGTCCGAGGTAATTCTTGTGCGCATTAGGCTTACTATGATAAAGCTTCATGTAATCTTCGGTGCCATTGATCAGACAGTTCTGGAAAACGAAACCTGTCGATTGAGCAGGGTCAGTTCTGCCATGAGCTGTGACGGCATTGGTCTCGCCTTTTTCTGGGTTGACTTGCCGCGGAGCAATTAAGATATGGCAATCCTGGAAAAATGCAGGCGAGTTTCCGAAAATGAAGTCCACATTGCCCTGGATGCGGCAGTTTTTGTAGAACTGGCGGAGGGAGTGAGCATAGAGCGTGTCTTGATTGCCCAGGAATTCACAGTTCTCGACAATGGATAGATCACTATCTGATCTGAAGGCAACTGCTTGGTGCGCTTCTGGACCTGCTGTGTTCTGGAACGTGACACCACTCGCCATGAACCCATCTCCAACAACTCCTGTAACATTACCATACAACACATCACAACAATGACAACAGAACCGAAAATTTGATGAAATCTTTCTTCTTTGATTTCCTTTTCATTCAAGAATTCACATCATTTTCGTTCGTTCACTTATGTGCCCATAACATTATCATTTCACACCTTACCCTGAATTATTTGGTGCAAACAAAAATCTTTTTTTAAATAAAAGAAGGGGTAAGAAACAGAATTTCAATCAAATTCCTTAACAAAACCATAAAATAATAATTGAAACTTACCAACTGTGGCAGTATTGAATGTCGTAATTCCCATCAGGCCCGTATTCAAAGAACCGGAAATTACAGTTTTACCCATCCCGTCTCCTAAGAACACCACATTCTTTTTCTCAAACGCCACCCTAACGATCTCCTTGTAAACTCCCGCCTTTATATTAATAACGAACCTACGTGTCACCACATTATCCGGGGCCGCGTTGACGGCGTCCTGCACTGTCTTGTAATTACAACTCCCGTCCTTACACACCGTCACGTCCGCCGACAACTTCGACGGCAACCCGCCGTCAAACCCCGGCTGGCTAGCGCCCGCCCCGTCCTTCTCCCAGAACCCGGCCCTCTCCGTCTGCGGCGCCCGCCATGTGTTGAAATCGTCACCGAAATTATCAAACGACACCATCATGCTCAACGCGAAGCTCGTCAAACCCATCAAAGAATCCAAAAATGACATCGTTTCGCCCACCAACTTCGTGTCGTTAACATATTTCAACGCCGACCAGGAGTCGTACTGATACGTTAAAGCGGCACTGTACCACGCACGTGCGTCCTTGATTTTGCCATGTGGCAGAGCGTCGTAAGCCGATTGAGTCCGGTGCCCCGAATACCCGAGCAGCTCCAAACAGTTCCTAGCTGCGTTGGACCGGTTCTTACTGTCTGCGGAAGAGTCCAGGATAGACTGAACTTTAACCACGGCAGTTTTGAGGTTTTCGGAAGAAACCCACACGGCGGCCTGGATCATTTGCGACGGGGTGGGGTTGGTGGGGACTTGGTTAGAGTGCGAGAGGGAGGTCTGGCACGTGACAGGGTCACGTGTGGCCTTGCAGGCGAGGGAGATTTGGGGAATTTCTGGCGGGGATTGAGGGTGATTACGGTGGGAGGCGGAGGAGAGGGAGAAGAAGAGGAAGAGGGAGAGGGTGAAGAGAAGGGAAGCCATGAAGAGGGGGATGAGGTATTTGGATTTGGGTTTCCTGTGAAGCCATTTGGTGGACATTGGGTATTTATAAGGGAATTTGTTGGATGATTTTGAGAATATGATTAAATTAGCGATTGTTTTCAGGTATTCACGAGAAAGGGTACGAGAGGGTCACGGGTTTGTTGGTTTGTTAGTGGTATTTTGGGGGAAAAAGTAACAGTTTTGAATTGAATTGAATCGACAGGTAGAAGACAGTTACTAAACCGGTTCGTTGATTAAAAACAAAGCACGGTTTAAAGAATGAAAATGCGGATGGGAAAGTGGGAAGAGAGAGAGGTTTGATTTTTAAAACGGTTATGGAGATTGGGGAAATGGAGAGGTCTGTGATGAAAGAGATCTGAAAGTAACAAAGAGGAGTGAACTCAAGTCTGTTGGAAAAAAAAATTTGATGCAACAACTTTTGAAAGTAATATTCTCATCCTTAAATTTAAGAACCTAGGGCTTTTTTTATTTACACCATTGTGAGATCGACTAATATTAAATTCATCAACTTTATTCAAAAAGTATAATAAAAACAATTTCTTAAATCATTCATTCAAATATTCAAATCCACAAATCAACCTTGAACTTACAATTATAATTTTCAAGGTTACACATTTATTTTACAAATCGAAACAAACATTTAATACAAAAATAAAAAGAATTTCAAATTAAAAAATTAATTTGATTAAGACAAATGAATTTAATAAAATTAAGACAAATGAATTTAATAAAATATGTAATGTAAATGTTTATTTAAAACAATTTTTTTGATGTCAAATGTTTTGAAATTTATATTATAAGATAAACAAAGGCCAGAAAATTATAATCAACTTTAAAACAATTATAATTAAGACAAAACAATTATAATTTTATAATTTTTGAATGATTTTTAAAAATAACGGGTAATGAAAGAGAAATTGTTTTAAGTAGCTATGTGAGGAAGGATAAGACAGACATTTGAATTTAAAATTGGATAAAACCCTAGCATACAACTAATGGTTTTTTAATGAGGCTGATAAGTTTTACTAATCGATTTCATGAGGATGTAAATAAATATAGGCCAAACGACTTGCACATACCCAAGGTTTGCCGTAATGACAAAGTGGTACCTAAAAAGTTTGGAAACGACAAACAGGTACTTTCCGTCATGTGCTGTTAGTGATTTCTGTTTGTTAACAGTGAAAAGACTAAAATGCCCTTGAAAGTTTGATATTTTAGTTTTTTATAAATTTCTCAAAAAAACCCCTAGGTTTGCTAATTTAACTAAACACCCCCATATATAAAGTTTGTTAAATGATAAAAACACCCCCACCACCTGCAGTGCCAGATTCTGGCCACTACCGCCGGAATCTGGCCGAAAATTACGTTACGACACAGACCTGTCGGATTTGTGTCGTAACGCATTGATCTGGCCTTTTTCGACCAGGTCCATGGCTGATCTGGCCNACTCATGCAATGATAAAAAATTTGAAATAAAAAAGTTCTTTATTTGGGTGCTAAAGGAGAAAGATGAAACATAAATTTATTTGATGAATGAATTTGTTTAAAATAAAAAAAAATAAAAAAAAAAAGATGTCAAAAGTTGTATAAAGAAAAGGGTAGAGGGAGTTTTTAACTTGAATTTTTGAAGCTTAAGGCAAATGGATAGTGTTGATGAATGTTTAACCATTGGATCATGTTAAGTAATCGTTTGATCTAAAGAGTTTAAGTTATTAGGTAAGGCCGTAAGGGCACAACATTAATATTTAAGTCTTAACAATCTCCTCACATGAAATGGGAATCTGATTAGAGACCAACCCAATATTAGGGGTTTGCAAAAAAGTCCGGAAATCAAACTAAACCTAAAAACTGGACCAAAGCTAAACTGAAAATCCGGTTTTTTTTTTCTTTTCCGAAACCGGTTTCATTTTGGTTCATCCAATTATAAAAACCGATTAACCGAAACCAAATATTTGAACTGCTTTTTTAAAAAAAAAAAAAAAAAAAACCTAAATCTATTTGGCCAAATTTTATTTCACCCTAGGTCTCTCACTTTCACGTTTGCGCCTCTGCCTCTCTTCAAAGGTATGATCTGTTTACATTTTGGAAATACTTGACATATTTTGATTTTTCAAAATATGTAAAAAAAAAAATCAAAATATGTAAAAAAAAAAAAAAGGAAAAAGAAAAAGTTAATTTCATTTTTATTTGTCTCCCAGCATCATCTTGTTGGATTCAGGATAAAATTTGTGTAAACAGCTCTCTCACCCTTCTCTATCTGTATATAGTTAGTGTGATTGGTCTTTCTGTATTTTGTCGTGTTGGTATTTTTCTTTTGTCATGTTTAAGAACTAAAGAGAATATGCAATGGCGGGGACTGATTGGTAAAGCCAAACAGGATGAAGATGAGATGGAGATGGGTTTTTCTTTTTCAAAAAAGAGGGTCAGGGTCTTTATCTTTTTTCAAGTAAAATGATGTGATGGATTAAAGCAATGTGATCTTCCTCTTTATGGCAAATCAGAATTCAGAAATGCAAAAGATCAGCATACGGAGGGATTTGAATTTATGTTAAAAAAATGGTAGGAATTGGATGTAATTCACGTTAAAAAATTATAAGAATTTGATATAATTCATGATAANATTTGATATCAAAACTTGATGGTTTCATATGTTTGTGGGGTGACTGGAGCGGTTAGGTTTATGGTTTGCTCCCATAATATCACCATAAACATTATTCTTTAATTTATCTTTAATACAATATCACCTCATCACATTTAACACGTCAATTTGTGTGAATGAGTTTGTATGAAAAGTTTATATATATAATATATTATTCTTGTTCTATATATCTCAAAAGATATCCTAACATGTAATAGAATAACAATAAATGTTAAAATGTTGAACAATCGAAAATAAAAATCAGAAAACAAGTTTATAAACAATAAGCACCTAAAGAGTACTCAAGAGTCTTAAGACTCTTTTTTATCTTCTAGTCTAGAGATGACTTGCCAAACTATCCTGAAATCAGAAAAAGCTGAGGCATCAAATGATGGATGGTTGTTTGCGTGGAAGTAACATTAAGAAACAAGAGTGTGCAATGAATAATACATTATAAATGTGCCCATTTCATCAAAAGCTGTGTAGCAGAAGCCATCAATAATTGCTGAATTTTATCCTCAGACCACTAAAGTTGAATTCTCTCTTCTTTTTGTGCATATTTGTGATCAATAGGAGCACCATAAAGCTATAATCTTAATTTCTTCGCAGCATCATATTTTTATCCTTGAAATTACTAAAACATGCCAACAATATTGAAATGAGAAAACGAAGTTGTTTCGCTACCTTGTTTTATGGGTTGAATGTTAGCAAATTTTCTATGCGCTAACATTGATTATGTTTTGGTTTGATAAAACTAGATAAATGTGTAGTCCAAATAAGATATCTAAATAGACATTATGTGATCATTCCAAAATTGTCCACTACACTTCATTTTAATAATCTGGGTAGACGACTAGTATAGGTTTAGGGTTTTAATGAGCTTTACAATTTATTGAGCTTTTAATGAGAATGTCAAATTAACCAATATTAAAATTGGTTAGGTCTCATTTTCAAATACATTAGAACAACTTAACTTATTATAAATCGTCATTTAGTACGTGTTATTGGAAATGAAGATTTACATTTTCTGTTACTTCTGAAAAAGCTGTTATTTCTTCTATAAGAAATTCAAGAATCATAAATCATGACACAAACAAGTTTATCTATAATTTTTAATCATTGATTATGTATTGTATAATTTATGTATTAATCTTTTGACGTATTATTGATTATAACTGGATTCTATTATTTTTGATTGAGTAAATGTTGATAGAATTCATGTATAATTTTCTTACATTAAACATTTATCGTTTGTCATGAATGAACTCGTGAGATGATATGATCTATCCATCCTTATAAATCTAGAATCAGGGGTGGGACCAGGGGGTTGGCTCCTTATCCACCCGATGGCCCCATCTGCCTACAACCTAGTTGAAATTCCTGGAAAAGAAACTCATTTTTAATTTTATAATTTTAATTAAATTCTTAATTAATTATACATTATTTAAAGTGTTTTTATTATTATTTGTAAATCACTTTCACATTTTGTTTCTCTTCTTAATAAAATTATAATAAGTTCAATTTATTACATTAATAAATTTCATTTTAGGTTTTGCCCCTGTATAGAATTACATATATAAATTTCTTTGGAGTCTACCTAACTCACATGCTTCAAGAGTATAAAAAATGCACTTCATCAACATTCTTTTAACATCCACTAAAGCTTGATGAAAGGATGTGATCTATATTGGGTTGAAATTTTATGTGCTTCTGCATTCATCTGTCAGCCACAATGTTATTAATAGAAGTAGATATATAAAACAAAGACTTTCGGGTGAAGAGATAAGAAATGGCATGGAGTAGCAGCCCTATTATTTTAATGCTGCAGATAGTGCCATAGTGGAGGGTCCACTGTAAATTTCACTCTGTGCTGGTGAGTAGATAGGCCATTTATTGTAGAAAAGTAGGCACCCAGCCACAAGGATGAATTAACTATGATGCTCAATAAATTTTCAATTTATTTGTACCTCTAACATTTTGGTCCAATGAAGTAAATATTATCTGTTTTACACCTAACTCATACCCATATATTTTTTTGGTGGTTTTCATACAATCATCATTAATTGGGTACTAACTAGAACCAGAAATGGATACTGTTAGCTTTGCAACCAAACAGGCTAGCCCACTAAGGAATATACGAGTAATATTATAGTTACCGAAGAATGCACATTAAATTTGTGTATCGAATGACGTGATAAAATCTTGACTATCGATTATCATAAGTTAATATTAATCGATGATTAAAATTTTGTTATGTCATTCGATGCAAAGATTTGATGTATAATTTTCGATAGTTTTATGATTTTCCAGAATATATGGTAGGGCGCTTGTGAACCACTGTCTTAATCAGGATATAAAAAGAAAAAAAAAAAATTCCGATACTATCAGCATGATAGCATATGGCTCTGGTTGGCTAGTCCACCTTATATGCTGTGGGCGGCTAGCCACTTTTCGTTTTTATATGTATGCCTAAACAGCTGCATGTGAACTTGAACATCACCATGAAATGTCCTTT